CTGCTGTGCCAGGCTTGACAGGCACTAACCAGAGGGCTGGGTAAGCTGTGCTGGCTACACCAGTCATAGTGCTTGGCATGCCTGGCAGGGCACTAGGGCTGCTTGAGTAAGGGACACCCTCTGTCCCCTGCCACCACACATGAGGGTACTTACCAAGTGGGATTCCAAAGCTGTCCACCAGTGCCTCCACCAGCCCCAACACATAGAGGGCACTGCCACACACGTTGGCCAGGAAAAACATGATCCCGATGCTGCCCCCAAACTCTGGGCCCAGGGCACGGCTGATCATATCTTGCTTGAGTCAAGGGAAGATGTCAGCAGCCCAAACCACCAGTGGGTGCTCCCACTCCTCCCTCCCAGGACAAGGAGGTCCCAGCCCCAGTGTGGCACCCCAAGGCCGCTGAGTGGTCACACAATTATGGCACACATTCTCTGCCCCAGCAGCAACCGCAACAAAGGATACAGTAGGCTCCTCCGGCATCCAGAGCCCCGTTGGTGGCAATGGCACACACGGACAGCACTGTCATACCGATGATGAAGTATGCCACTGCGAACATGGCCAGGGCTTGGTATAACCCAGCATGGCCCACCACGAACCCTGCCAATGATAGGGAGAGGCAAATGAGCCCTTTAGCTGGGTATGGACCACTGCTAGGACAGGGTCCTGCAGATAGCCAGAGCTCACTCCACTGAGGCAGACAGGCTGCTCCCATCCTTGTGCCCACAACTCCCCCCAGACATGCCACTTCCTTCCCTGCCAGGATGGGTATATCTCCACCCAGCTGGTGCTCTCACTTCAGGACATCTCCACCCTCCTCCCATGCCAGGATCAGGCCCAGGAGTGCCCTGGGCGTGGGCAGCTCAGAGGGGCACAATCAAAAAGCAAACAGGGCAGGGGAGGTCTACTGTCCACCTGGCCCCAGGGCACTGCTGGGGGTGCCGGGACCCCCATGCCCTGCTGCCACCCTCAGCGGGTAGGAGGTGCCTTCCATCCCAGCTCGGGCACCAGGAGCTGATGGACACTCCACCGGGTTCGTGTTGCCGCCCTGCCTGCCTGCTACAAAGCAGGAAGCAGAACAGCCTCGGGGCATCCCCGTCATACAGTGCAACTCCCCCCCCCCCCCCCGCGGTGTGTGTGTCCCCGGTGATGGGGCACCCAGAGCCCCCGCGGCCCTGCCGGGGTGACGGGAGGCGAGCGCAGCCGGCGGCGCTGCGGGCAGGAAGAGGCGGCCCGCGGCTGCAGGGAGATGCCCTATCTCAGCCACAAGCCAGGCCGCAGCCATGCCCGCAGGGAGGCGAGGGGGGTGCCGCGGCACGGGCACTGCAAGGAGCCCTCAGGGAGACAGGGTGCGTTTGGAGGCACACTCTGTGACCCCCCAGAGGGCTGGAGGGTGCCCGAGCGCCAAAAGCGGGGCAGCAGACGGGGGGGGGAGGGAGAGGGCGCGGAGGAAGTAAAAGGGTGTCCCGAAAAAAAGCAGTGCTGAGGTAAGCAGGAGGAGCTGCTCGCCATGGAGATCCGGGGGATGTCTGAGGCATGGGGAAGCAAGACGCTGTGGGGGAACCACGGACCCCCCACGGTGGGACAGTTCCTCTTCCTGGCAACTCCCCTCCCCCTCCTCCCTACACTTCCCTTCCGGCTCCTCGGCCGCCCGGAATAATGCACCCCAGGGAGGGGGGTCCCGGCACCCCCTGCACGGTAGGGAGGTGAGGGCCTGTGCGAGGACCCCAGCAGGGGAGCCGAAATGGGGTGAGTGATGGCAGGGGAGAGCTGTGCCCACAGCCCGCATCAAAGTGGGTCCCCCAGGCAGGGGAAGGGGCTCAAGGGCCCCCCAGGCATGCAGCCAACTTCCACCCTTGGGCTCTCTGTGGGCAGAAAGTGAAAGAGGAAAAGCCTTCCCTGTTCCCAGATGCTGCCTGCCCTAGGCCTCTTTCTGCCCCAGAACAGGCTGGGGCATCTCCCCCCCTCCTAGGACCCCCCAGAAGTCTGCCACCTCCTCGAGCTCATGCCCACCCTACCCCCTAGCTCTTCCAGATTGCCCAGTAGCAGACTCACAACCTAAAGTGGGAGCAGACTGGGATCAAATCCATGCCCTTTGAACAGCACAGAGGAGGGGGCAGCTGGGTGCCCAATGGGAGACACCAGGGTCAAGTCCTGCCCTCGGGACACCATGTAGGATGTGGGAGAGAACTGGGGTGCTGTACTGGAGTGCTGTAGCTCGGCATTGGCTGATGCTTTGAGAGCAATGGGGTCTCAGCACTGGGGAAGGGGGGACACAAGGGCACCAGAATCTTGTTTAGGGAAGGCACTGGGAAGGCTCAGAAGTCCTGCCCCAGAGACACTAGGGCTCCAGACCAGGGTCCCTTACTGGGGGCACTGAGGTCCCTAACTAGGTTCCCATCCTGCAGGTGCAGCATGAGCCCTGGGGCCCCAGACTGAAGGGGTCAGGAGGAGACACACAGCATCAGGACCCCAGCCTGGGAGAGAACTGAGAGAGCACTTGGACTCCAGACTGGGGGGCAGGAGAGGGCACTTGGGCTCCAGACTGGGGGGCAGGAGAGGGCACTGGGGCTCCAGACTGGGGGGCAGGAGAGGGCACTGGGGCTCCAGGCTGTGGGAGTAGGAGAAGGCACTGGGAGGACACTGGAGTGAACACTGGGACGTCAGATTGAGAGGCTGGGGACAAACGGAGAGGGCAAAAAGAGGATACTGGGGCTCCAGACTGTGGGGCTCGTAACGAGCACGGAGGCTGTGGGAAGGGGAGGAGGGCCCGGGAGGACACGGGGCCCCTGGGGGTACCAGGCAGGGCTGGTGAGTCTCGGGGGACCTCGGGCCGCGGTCGGGAGGGGTCCGGCGGGCGGCGGCACTCACCGAGGCGCAGGAAGAGGACGACGCTGAACATGGAGAGGAGCGTGGGTACCACAACGCCCAGGAAGGTGGGCAGCTTGCGGTGAGCGGGGGCGGCGGCCCGGCCACGCTCCCGGCCCCGCTCCTCCTCGCCCGAGGCGCCGCACAGGCGGTACGTCAGCAGCGCGCTCCGCTCCGAGCTCGCCATGGCCTGGCACGGCCTCGAAACGCGCCCGACGCCGGGCAGACCGCTGCCCCGCCAGCCCCGCCTGCCGACCCGGGCCAGACCCGCCGTGTCCCGCCCCTCTCAGCTGACCACGCCCGTGGCCTCCGGAATAGGCAACGCCTCCGGGCCCGCCCCGTTGGTTAGGCCCCGCCCCCTCCTTGGCCCCGCCAGCAGCCGCCCATCCCTCTCACGGCCCCTGGACCTAGATGTACCCCCATAGTGGTGGCCCACCCCAACACCCCTCGTGACCCTCACCGCTACCCTCCATCCCGAATCCCCCTAACCCCCCGCCCTCCCGTGGTTTTCTCACTCCCGGTACCCGGCATTGACACACCCTACCCCTCCCGAAACCGGACCCCGCTCCCCTGAATCGTCACACGCCCCCTGCCCCGACCCTCCAGCAACCAGCACCCCGGCACCGACCTCGGCACCCTCAAGCTGCCCCCGGTCACCACAAGGGACGCCGGTACTGCACCCCTCTCTCTGTGCCCCTTTCCCGCGTCTCCCACCGGTGCTGGTCGGGCTCGGCTGCCCCCGCCAATTACCGGACAAGCGGGGCCCCCGGGAGCACAGTCCCGCCCTCCCCGCAGCCAGGGCTGGGATCTGCCCGGCATCCGGGGTCCCACTACCTCCGCCGCCCGGGGCGGCCGAGCGCCACACCAATTAGGTTAATGGTGTTGGCGCCGGGACCGGGAGGAAGGGGGGGGGGGCACGGTGGGGCCGGGGGCGAACCCCACGCCTGCCTTGAGTACCCGCTTGCGTGCCGGCTCCTGTCAGCAGAGCGGTTGGCCCTCCACGGCCCTAGTCCGTGTCACGAGTGGTGGGATCAGGGGGGGCACACCGAGACGGAGTGCGGGAACCGCTCCCGGGGAGCGACCGCCCGGTCCCCCGTCCCCGTCCCTGCCGTGCCCTGTGTAGCGCAGCGTGCTCCCGCGGCCGAGGTGGGAGCCCGGCGGGGCCGGAGCTTTCATCTGCGGCGAGCCTGTCGCCGTGCCAGCCGCGGGCAGCGCAGGGCCTTTGATGTGCCACTGAAGCGGCATTGTGCGCGGCACCGGGGCCGGGGGCCCAGCGGGAGCGCGGCACGGCCGAGCTGCGGGCACGAAGCCGCCCCTGCCCCTAATAGGCACGCGGGTGGTGACACTGGCAACCCCAGTCCCGAAATGGGAATGGGGACACGGCACCTCCTTATGCACTTAGTAGAGACAGAGAGGGAGGAGTGGACACTCCTAAGGAGGAGAGAGACGGGGCTATAGGGCGCCTATCCCCCAGTGGCTGTGGGGACACGGGCACCCCGTGCCTCTAACAGGGACAGAGGTGGGGGAACGGGCACACCCAGCACCCCGAAGAGGAGGTGGGGATGCGGTTGCACCCTGCCCCACCAAAAGAGGTGATGCCATGCCCATGGGCACAGGAGGGTGGCGAGGGTGGGCGTGGGCACTCCAAAAATCTGGGGACAACCACAAGCCGAGCTGTAGGCACGGGTGGGACTCTCCAGCTGGGCGGTCAAGTGTAGCCCCCCCCTCCATCCCAGGGGCCAGAGCTGCCCCTCAGGCCCTGGCACACTGCCCGCTCTGGGCCTGCCGCTGCTGAAAAGCTAGATAGGCTGCCGGTGCCCCGGTCCTACCTGCCCGGCATCCCCCCGGGGCACGTCCCCCCTCTTGCACCTCAGGCGAGAAACGGCCTTAGTGTGAACACGGGGTGGGTGCTGGGGGTCCCAGGGACAGCCGCTGCTCAGCACTGGGGTGCAGTGCCCCTGCACAGAGCTGCCCGTTCAGCCCGGGCCGGGCTGGCGCAGACGGAACCCCCGCCCCAAGATTCCCCGCCTCAGACCCCGCACCCTCAGACCCTCAGACCCCGCACCCCAATGTCCGCCGGGCCGCTCCCGGCCCGCTGCTGCTTTTGAAGCCCCCGCGGGGTCTCCCACGCCCAGCCCGGCCCCCCGTGCCCGCAGCCGCCGGTGCGTTCCCACTCGCCCGCTGCCGCCCCCCCCACGAGGCCCGCAGGAGGGACGGTAGCGCGGCCGGGGCTTGGCGTGAAAATGATCAAGGGCCTCGGGCAGCGCCGGAGCGCAGCGCCCGTCTGATGCTGCCCGCCCGGAGGCCCCGTCGAACAAAGGCGGCATTGAGGCCCCGGCTGCGCCCCCCCCGCGCCCCCCGCCCCGAGCTGGCATCTTGGCGCGACATTAATGAACTCGCCTGTTTGTGCTCCCCCGGCCCCTCTCTCCTCCCACCGCCCGGGGGGCACCATATATATCCATCCCTCCTCACCCGCCTCGGGCATTTTGGTGGCTCCCCCTTCTGCCCCCCTTTGTCTGCACGGGGATGGAGCAAGGAGGCAAGAGGATGCGGGGTGCAATTCTCGGGGTCCGCCTGGTCCCCCCCGTGCTGCTGCCGATGCTGTCACTGCTGCAGCTAGTGGGGGGGGCCCCCCTGGCCCAGGGGCTGTACCCCATGCCAGCCGGTGTCCTGCAAGGTCAGTGGGGCATGGGGATGGGGGCATCTTTGCGGGAGGGTTTGACTGTCTGCAGGGCGGCTGTAGGAGACGGGACTCCCGGGTTCATTCTCTGGAACGAGGATGGGAAAACGTGCAAGTAGGATGCCTGGGTCCCTGCCGAAGCCTCCAGGTCCTGGAGCATGCTGTGCTGCCTGGTCAGAGTCGCAAGTGCTCTCTGTGGCACTAGGAGATACAAGGGTTGCAAGGAGCTGTTTTGTGCCCCACGGCTGCCAGCTCTCCCTCCTGCCTGGCTACCTGTGCCAGCCCCAGGGGACCCTCTGCCAGGCACAGCCAGCAGAAGGGCAGCTGTGGGTGGGTACAGGTGGGCATAGGTATGAGCATATGTGGGGATGCACATACAGGGCATGCACAGGACTGCACAGAAACAGGCACATGCAGGGACATGCAGACATGGGCACACAGACCCTGGCACACAAAGATATGTGCATGGGTACATGCGCATAAACACGCATGGACATACCTGTTTGGGCTCAGCCCTGCAGCATGCCCATGTTTACACACATACATGCTCACAAGGTCTCCACTTACAAAGGGCACTCACAGATCTATATCACCATCTCAGCCACAGCAGAGAGGTGACTCTCATGCCTGTAACCGTAGGCAATGCCAACCAATGATACCAGCGTGACACCCATCACGGACATACTGGGGAACAGGTGCCAGTTGGGCTGAGGGCACCCTATGTCTGTGGTGGGAGGAAGTGGGGGGGTGCCAGGGGTATGAGCACCCTATGTGTTCCTGGCAGCCCTGTCAAGCCGGGGGACGCTGGTGCTGGAAGCGGCTCTGAGGAGTGCATTGCTGGCATTGGAACAGGCAATGGCCGAGCAGCAGCAGCAGCGGGGTGCCTGCGGGCTCTGTCCTCCCTGCCTCTTCCCCCCCTGTGCCAACCTCACCCGCCGCTGTTCACGTGAGTTACAACCCCATGGTCCCCACTGCCCCATTCTAGGAGACCCTACCCAAACACAGACCCATGCCTGGAGACCCTACTCAAATCTTTCTTTGGGTCCCTACCAAAGTACCACCATATCCCCTAGAAACCCTGCCAAAATGACACCTCGAGACCCTACCCAAACACCACCACCTCCACTGTAGGCTTTACCTTATCAGCTTTGCCAAAACACTGCTGGACTCCCAGAGCATATCTCTTAAGTGCACTTCTTCATTTTCTCTAGATCCTACCCAAACATTACCTGGAGCCCTAGCCAAAACATTGCCTGATTTCCTGTCTCCTTCCTAGAGATGCCCCAAAAAATGTATCCCAGCACCCAGGAGACCCTAACAAAACATGCCAACACCACAGCCCCACCATGCCCCCTTCCCACCTGCCTCAAAGTGGAGCCCAGGTTTGTCTGGGCAGAGGTGGGCAGGGAGGACATTGGGATGTCTACAGCCCTGCTGTCCTTACAGTGCCAGCTGTGCCCCCCACCGTGCCCCCCAGCTGCCAGGCCCTGCTGGATGCCCAGGCACTCCCCGAGCTGCCCCAGCGCAACTGGGCATTGAGCCAGGCCTGTGCCCCCTACCAGCGCCTGTGCCCACCCAAGCGGGCCCCACATGCCTGTGCTCAGCTCAGCACCCGTCTCTGCCACTACCGCCTCCAGGAGTGCCGTGAGTGGGCACCTGCATCACCCCGGATCCTTCCACAGAGGGGAAACCCTACAATAACAAAGGGGGCATCCTCAAGGGGTTCCTGGGATTGCCTGGAGGGGATATGGGGACACTGGGAGTGACAGTGGGTGCTGGGGTGGGGAGACTGGGGAGATGGGTATGGTAGGGTAATTGGGGGGATGGGGGGATCTGGGGTGAGAGGTGGAGATCTGGGGGATGGAGGCATTGCGAACCATGAGAGGATTAGGGGAATGGGGTGTTGAAGGATGATGGAGAATGTAGGGTGGGAGAGGGGAGTATGAGAGAAGGGGGCATGGGGCAGTGTCAGAAAAATTTGGGACACAGTCACCGGGGGTGACAAGCATTCCTGGGGTGGTACTGGGGTGCTTGTTTGGGATGATGGGGGCCTTGGGGGCACTGAAAGGAACTGGGAGGAATTGGGAACAGCAGGAACATGGTGGTGACACCGGGGGGTTGTCCCCACATGCCATGAAACTTTGTCCCTGCAGGGATGGCAGCCTCAGGCCCTGACGCACAAGAAGAGGTGGCGATGCCAGGTGAGCCCACACCACCCCCCTCCCCATGCCGACGGGCGCTCCGGCCCCACGGCTGCCTGCTGGGCCGGGGGGCAGAGGTTAGCGTCGGCAGCTGCCGGGCCGCAGGGTGCCCCCAGCCCACCGCCCGCTCGCCTCCATGAGCACAATGAGGCTTGACAGCGTGCCCGGCGCAGCCTGACTCCCCCGGGGCCACACACCACTCCCCCCACTCACCACAGCCGTCCCAGCCACCCTGTGCCCACTGGGGAGAGGGGGGTGTCCTGGCAGTGGGGCTGCAGGATCCCCCTTCTCATCCCCGCTTTGTCTTCCAGGGAGCTGCGGGCACCGTGGGGTCCCCCAGGCCAACATGACTGCCCCCCGAGGACGGATCATGGGTGGCAGCGTGGCCCTCCTGGGATCCTGGCCCTGGCTGGTGTCGGTGCGGCTCCATGGGGAGCTGATGTGTGGAGGGGTGCTTGTGGGGCTCTCCTGGGTCCTCACTGCAGCCCACTGCTTTGCTGGGTACGGCAGGGAATACAGCAATGTAGGGGTGATGTCCCTCCAGAGGGGGGCACATCATGGCACATGTTTCACCCCTGTAAAGAGCTGCCTCTTACTCTATCAGGAACCAGAACGAGCTGGCATGGACAGTGGTGGTAGGTGATCATGAGCTGGGCAAGCACAGAACAGGCGAGCAAGTGGTGTCTGTGCGGCGCATCCTGCCTCACCCCAAGGTCAGTGGAGGTGGGCACCCCTCTGACCGCTCTTTGCATGCCCCATAAGCCCCACTGACACCGTCCCATCCCCTTCCAGTTTAATCCCAAGACGTTTCATGGGGACCTGGCACTGCTGGAGCTGGCTGTGCCACTGGCCCCATCGCCCACTGTCAGCCCCGTGTGCCTTCCCAGCAGCCCCGCAGAGCCCAGCCCCGGCACTGCCTGCTACATTGCGGGCTGGGGCTCCCTCTATGAAGGTAGGTGCCACCCCAACACCCATGGAGTCTGTGGGGTGTCCTCTTTGATGCCCTCTCTGGTGCCCAGTGCTAATGCACTGATCCAGGGCAGGGGGCTGCAAAGAGATGGGGGTGTCCAAGCATGGAGGACACCAAAATGGGTGCCTTGCCCAACAGAGGGGCCAGCAGCCAACGTGGTGATGGAGGCACAGGTGCCCCTGCTCAGTCAGGAGACGTGCCGGAGTGCTCTGGGAAAGGACCTGATTACCAACACCATGTTCTGTGCTGGGTACTTGTCCGGGGGCATTGATACCTGCCAGGTAATGCCCAGAGCTGAGGGGCTGCTGTCCCCCCAACCCAAAAACCCCTCATGGCATGCAGCGCTGGGCATGTGCCACAGCCCAGCACAGCCTGGGGTCCCATCCCAGACCAACGCATGGGCATCCCCCCACCACAGGGTGACTCAGGGGGCCCGCTGGCATGCCAGGACCCCTCCTCGCACCGCTTTGTCCTCTATGGTATCACATCATGGGGTGACGGCTGCGGTGAGCGGGGCAAACCGGGTGTCTACACCCGCGTCACTGCCTTCACAGACTGGCTCAGACTCCAGATGGACCGTGAGTACTGCTGGCTGTACTGGGGGGATGGAGATGCCCAGGGTGCTGTGGGGATACATCACCCCAGTGGTGTTCAGCACCTCACGGCAGCACTGGTGTTCTCACAGCTGCCCCTGGCAGCCGGGAACCGAGCTGCTTTGACCTGCTGGCAGTGTCCCAGCTGCCCCCTGAGCAGCAGCCACCTGAGCGGGCTCGCCTCTGCACCTTCTACACCGGGTCCTGCCGGGCCCCACAAGGCCACGCTGCCTGCGCCCGGCTGGCCGAGGAGACCTGCCGCGCCAGGACCAGACGATGTGGTGAGCCAGGGGATTGTGCTGGGGAGAGGGTGTGGGGAGGGACCTCGTTTCGGGCAGCGTGGGGCTGGTATGGGGCCGGGGCCATGGCTCTCCCACTGCACCCACAGAGCTGCACTCCTATGCCCAGACCTTGGTGGATCTCCTGCGCAGGGCTGGGGACTTCATCCGGAACCAGCTGGATTTCTCCTTCCTCACCCATGCTCTGCCACAGCTCCTGGGCAAGATCTATGGGCATCTCTTCCCCCACCGTGGCCGCAGGGATGCCCCAGGTATCCTCCTCGGCTGGCCCACACCATGCCCACTTGGGATCCCATCAGTTCTCCTGTGCTGGTGGCCAGGGCACCATCAGCCTGCTCTGGCACCCCTATGGGGATCCTCTACCCCTTGTCCCTTCTGTTCCCTTTTTATCTCCACAGGCCCAGTGGTGGCAGAGGGCCAGCCAAGCCCCATGGCAGAGGGACCCCGGAGACACCCCACCAGGTGAGGCATGGTGGGCCATGGGACAAGAGGGGCTGAAGGGTTTGGGGAGGTGGGCAAGATGCCTGGGGGTGCTGACACAGCATTTTGGAGACAGCCGAAAGCTTTGGAGTCCTGCTGTTCCTGCAGTCAGGGCATCTGCAGGGAGGTGGGCATGGTCCCCTGGATGCCACCAAGACCCTGCAGGGGTACGCAGGGTGGCACTGCCCAGGGGATGGGTGCCACTGGGCACCTGCCAGAGCTCACCCCACTGTGCTTGCAGACAGGGAGCTGGGCTGCCGCCCCCCTTTGCAGGGCTCTTTGGTGCTGTGGGACCCCGGCTGCAGGACTGGGTGGAGGTGCTGAGGGCCATGGAGGGGGGAAGATCCCTGGCACCTATCCCAGATGCAGGGCAGCTCCCCAGGGAGACATGGCTCTTCCTGCAGGTATGTGGGGATGGACGGGCTGGGGGAAGCCACTGCCCCAAAGCCCAAAGTTCCCCTGTGTCTCCTGACATCCCCTGAATCCATCATCCCCTGTGCAGCCACAGAGGTGGCATCTCCCACTCTGCTACCACAGGTGGGGCATTTCACCCTCCCCAAATGAAACCAGTACTCCCAGTCAACCAGTACAGAGCCAGCCATGGGTCTGACCTTGAAGCTTATGATCTGACCCAACAAAGCCATGAACCAGTCATGTGTCCCTGATGCCCTGTCTGACACCAGTCCAACTGTGCCCTCCATTCTGCCACTGCGCACTTGGCCCATGGGTGCCCGTGGGTACCTCAGCACCCACCCTGTCCCCCACTTCTCTTCAGCAAGGCAAGGAGGAGGTGGAGGAGCTGGTGGGACAGGGACGAGCCTTCCTTGCCCAGCTGCGGGCAGAACTGGACCTTGGCTCCTCCCTTGGAGCCATGGAGCTGCAGCAAGCACCTGGAGAGCTGGCAGGGACCTCCACACCAAGCTGTGAGCCCCAGGAGCTGGGGTTGATGGGGAAGCAGGGTGTCCATCTGCCAGCCAGTTCCATGGTTGGGCAGAGGCCATCGACCACTTTCCCACCGAGGGATTTATACCTCTCTTGGTGGCAGGGTCTGCACCGAGGGAGAAACGTGAGCTGGTGCCCCTGGAGCTGCCAGGGGTGGTGGAGGAGGAGGAGGCGGCAGGTGTGGGCAGAGGTAGGTGCCCCATGGCTGCTGAGGGATGCCCCATGCCGTGGGGACGGTGACAAGCCCACCTCAGCTTTGCATTCTGGTCCCATGTCAGTGGGAGAGCCCTTGCCCATACCCCCCTCCACAGGGACCCTCTGCTCCTGTTTTCCCTACATTCCCAGAGCATGGGTGCTCCTCCCCAGGGCGGGTGCTGTGTGTGGTGCCCCTGTGATTCATCTTCATGTGCCCCCTCCCTCTCTCTCCTGCCCACCCCGGGTGTTGCAGCCTGCCCCGGCCTCAATGAGTCAGCAGTGCGGGTGGGTGCTGTGCGGGATCTGTACGCCTGGGTGCTGCGGGTGCCTGAGCCAGACCTGGCCATGACTTTCCAGGAGGTGAGTGCCTTGTCCATCTACTCCAAGCCCCGACCCTGGCAGGCGGACAGTGCCACCTCCCAGTCCATCACTGCCCCTCTGTGCCCCTGGCTCCCCTGGGACTCACCACGTTGTCTTCCCGCAGATCCTGGTGGACTTGGGCTCCAAGAATGCCAAGGGACTGTACCGGGCACAGGTTCGGGCCACAGTGGGGGGTCGCCCCACAGCATTCACTGGCCTTGTGGGGCTGGAAAGTGACTCGCTAGCCCGCAGCATGCCTGGCCTCGTTGCTCTGGCACTTGAGGCGCTGAAAACCTAATGGTGCCCCTAGTGCACTGTGCCAGTGTGGGGACAGGGTGCTGGGGCAGGGGTCTTCAATGTCCTTCAAACACAGCCCACTCTCCAGCTCAGGCTCTTCCACCCTTTTTTCCCACATTGTGCCTCAGTTTCCCTCTTCCCACCAGCACTGCCAGACCTACCCAGGGCCATGGGGCACCAAGGGGCACCTGGAACATCTCAGCTGGGGGTCATGGCCCTCATCTCCCCTGGGACTCTCATCTTGGAAAACCCATCCCCATTTTCCCCCATAGGCACCTGAGCTGTTATTTATTTGTACAGAGAAAGGTTTATTTTTCAATAAAGAAGGGCTCTATTTTCCAGTAGCTGGTGAGTGTGAAGTGAGTGCTGTGCCACAGGGTGCCAGTGATGCGGGGGCCAGTGGGGGACCTTCCCATTACATCCCCCTTCCTATCCCCCCTGTACTTTGAAGCGGTGACCCCAGCCTTGGTTCCTGCCCCTAACATCAGTTCCTGCTCAACCTGGCACAGACTCCCCAGCCCCCTGCCCGGGAGTTGGATGCTCCCCTGGCCACTGCAGCACCCATAGCATAGCACTAGTGTCTACCCCTGGTGCTACTCCATTGGGGCCCACGTGAATCCTCCTGCTGGTACAGGGGCTGAGACTAGCCTAAGCCAGTGACAAGTGCTGGGGTGGTGCCACCCCTGTGCTTGAGCATCCGTGGGTACCAACCCCTCCTGCTTGTGAGGAGTTACCACCCTCGAGCAGCACTGATGGGGCTGCTGAGCAGGGGGTAAGGGACTGCTCCTCCCAACACCCCACAATGCTTGTGCTGGGATGCCCAGGCGCAGGGTGACGGGCTGACCCACGGAGCCTGCGAGGCCAGCTGCGCCTGCCCATCTCCCCTTCTGCGGGTGCAGCGGGGGCTGGAAGAGAGGGGTGGGAGCAGGAATCCAGTGCGGGTACCCTTCCCCCTCGGCACCTGGCACCATCCATCTCCCGCTCCATCCGGCAGCCGGACATCCGCTCAGCCAGGCCAGGCAGGGAGGCGGCCAGGGCCTGGCACAGAGCGAGGGCACTGTGGGCATGGGGGACCTGCCGGGCTGGCTGGCTGTGCTCGGGGCACTGGTGCTGTCAGGTGAGCAGGGCCTGGGGTCTTTCACATGGGGTTGCCATATTTAGGGGGTTCTGGGCCCCCTCAATGGGGTCGGGTAAGGGCAGGGAGGTGTTGGTGGCAGGATCGGGGCAAGAGTGTCCCCAGGGCTGCACTTTGAGTATTGCTTGGCAGAGTCCCATCACTGAGCATCCCCTGCGCTTCTGTCTTGGCTGGACCACCAGGAGCTGCGTCCCTGTGCTGGGCTTGGGCTATGTGTGTGTGTCTGTACAGTGTCACTGTGTCTGTGTGCCGCTGTATGTGCCTGTCTGTGTGCACAGTGAAATTGCATCTATGACCACGTCTGTGCTTAGACTGCATCCATGTCCATCTGTCCATATGTGCCTCTGTGTGTGTATCCACTTATGTGTACAGTGCCACTGTGTCTGTACCCAAGTGTCTCATGCCTGTGTGTCCCTTTGTGTCCATGTTCACATCCTTGTTCCATGCCCATGTGCTCCCACATGCCTGTCATGCCTGAATGTCCCATGTCCATGCCTCTGTGCAGCATAAACGTGCAGTATCCTGGCCTGTTTCTGTCCTCTCCATCCTTAATCCATCCTGCCCTTACTGAGCACCCATGCAGGGTGGTATTTGTCCCAGTAACCCCCCAGACTCCCCAGTTTGCCTGACCCTACACCCCCAGGTGGGCTCTGTGTGAATGAGGAGGAGCGGCTCATCCACCACCTCTTTGAGGAGAAGGGCTATGACAAGGAGATGCGCCCCGTCACCTCCAGTGACCAGGTTGTGGACGTCTACCTGGCTCTCACCCTCTCCAACCTCATCTCACTGGTGAGTCCCAGCAGATAATACCCACCATGGAGTGTTCCCCAGCCATACCTCACCTGCAGGGCTGGCTGGGCTGGGGGACCCCTGAAGCTGCTGCCCCAAACCTTGGCTGGTTGGGGTGGTGGGTCCTGGGCTGGGGGGGCTGCAGCTGCTGGGCTTGGCCCTGGCATCTCACTGCCCCACACTGTCATTGCAGAAAGAGGTGGATGAGACGCTCACCACCAACGTATGGCTAGAGCACGTGAGTAGGGGCAGGTATCACGGCACTAGTAGTGTCCTGACGCATGAGCAGTGGGGTGGCCCAGTGTGGCAACACAGTCACCTGGGGATCCCTCCTCTCCAGGGCTGGACTGACTACCGCCTGCAGTGGAACAAGTCCGAGTATGGGGACATCGAGGTGCTCCGCCTGCCACCAGACATGCTGTGGCTGCCTGAGATAGTCCTGGAGAACAAGTGAGCTGTGCCTCAGTTTCTCCTCCCAACCCCTCCAAGCTGTCCCTGGTGCATGTCCAGGTCGCCCCCTGCCCCTTGCTGGCCCTGCTATCACCTCATCTCTCTCCTGGCATAGCAATGACGGGCTCTTTGAGGTCGCTTACTACTGCAATGTCCTCATCTACAACACGGGCTATGTTTACTGGCTGCCGCCCGCCATCTTCCGCAGTGCCTGTCCCATCAACGTCGACTTCTTCCCCTTCGACTGGCAGAACTGCACCCTCAAATTCAGGTGCCAGGGGGCTGGCTGGGACAGGGGCAGGCAGCAGGGTGGACGCCATGGCTCTCTGCAGTGCCTGCTGCTGCCAGCACCTTCCCTTGCTGTTGGGGTGCAGCCAGGTGGGGGTTTGCAGATGACTCAGCGGCCTAAATCCATCATGTTGGACATCAGGGTGGGTGAGTGGTGGGTACTAAGCAGCAGATGCAGCCCCTCACTGCCTGTCCCCTCCCTGTCCATGGGTCAGCTCGCTGGCATACAGTGCCCTGGAGATCAGCATGCACTTGAAAGAGGACAGTGACCCAGAGACGGGCAAGTATTACCCAGTGGAGTGGATCATCATTGACCCTGAAGGCTTCACAGGTAATGCTTGTGTTCTCTGACCTGTCCTGTGGCAGCAGGACAACCTCTACAGGGCTCAGGGGCACCCTGGCTTGGGGAACCCTGCCACGGACACACTGGATTACCTGAGGCTTTGGAACCCTGGCACCCATCCACCAGGCTTGGAGCTACCCAGACCCAGGATGGGGAGACTGGTGCTGGTGGGGCTGGTGAGGATGGGCATAGCAGGGGTTACCCGTGCCATGTGCATCCTATCTGTCCTGGCAGAGAATGGGGAATGGGAAATAATCCACCGCCCAGCCCGCAAGAACATCCACCCCGAAAACCCTCCTGAGAGCAGCGGGCACCAGGACATCACCTTCTACCTCATTATCAAGCGCAAGCCACTCTTCTATATCATCAACATCGTCACGCCCTGCATCCTCATTGCCTTTATGGCCATCCTTGTCTTCTACCTACCCGCTGACAGTAAGTGAGCCCCACAGCACCCATGGTGCACCTCCATGTGCCTCACTTGCATCAGGTCCTGGGACATATGGACACCCCAATGCTCAGAATGGGAACATCTGCTACTGGAACACCCCTATGCAGGACACCATCATCCCAGTCAGGCACCCTGGCAGGGGCACACTTGAGCACAGGATACCCCATATTTGGGGTACCCCCATAATAGAAATCACTCTATGGGGCACTGCAGGGTGGGACAGTTGGCCATCCTTGCAGTGGGAGTGCTGGGACAGGGACCTTGGGCAGGGTTTGCCCTCAACTCACCTGCTGTCCAGGTGGTGAGAAGATGACCTTGGTGATCTCGGTACTCCTGGCCCAGTCTGTCTTCCTCCTGCTCATCTCCCAGCGCCTGCCTGCCACCTCCCATGCTATCCCCCTCATCGGCAAGTGAGTCCTGGGCACCTCTAGGTGCAGCGGGGACATCATGGGGTCTCCACAGTGCCAGAGGGCAACTCTGCCCGTGGCCAGCCTCTGCGGCAATGCCAGCTCCAGGTCTGTGTCCCACACAGGTATCTGCTTTTTATCATGCTTCTGGTGACAGCTGTGGTGGTGATCTGCGTTGTGGTCCTCAACTTCCATTTCCGCACCCCCAGCACCCACATCATGTCCAACTGGGTCAGAGAGGTGAGTGTGCTGCTGGGCTGGGGTGAGTAAACTGGTGGGTACAGGGGTGGAGGACATGGGACAGGACAGCCCCAGCACAGCATCGGGGTGTCCCATTTGTGCCACTCCAAGGGCTTGTACACCCAGGTTGGGAGCAGAAGGTGGGGACAAGGTGGTGTTGCACTGGGGAGGTGGCCAAGAGTCTTGATAGCCCCTTCTGTACCCCCAGGTTTTTCTGGAGAGCCTGCCCCCGCTGCTGGGCATGTCAAAGCCGGCCGAGAGCCCAGCGGGTGCCCCATGCATCCGGCGCTTCAGCTCAGCCGGCTACATCGCCAAGGCAGAGGAGTACTTCAGTGTTAAGTCCCGCAGCGAGCTCATGTTTGAGAAGCAGTCAGAGCGGCACGGGCTGGCCAGCCGCGTCACCCCTGCCCGTGAGCTGCTGGGGAAGGGTGGCAGAGTGGGGATCTCCAGAGGTGGCCTCCCTTCAGACCCCATCTCACTGCCCCTCTTGCCCCCAGGGTTGCAACCGCTGGGCATGGGCACAGGCGAGGAGCAGCTCTATGAGCACATAAAACCTGTTGTTGATAACGCCAACTTCATTGTCAAGCACATGCGGGAGAAGAACAGCTACAACGAGGTGGGGACCGTGAGCACGAGAGAGGCGGAGGGAGCTCCCTGTGCCCATGTGCCCCCAATGCTCACCTCCTGGCTCCCTCCCCAGGAGAAGGACAACTGGAACCAGGTGGCCCGGACCCTGGATCGCCTCTGCCTCTTCCTCATCACCCCTATGCTAGTGGTGGGCACGCTCTGGATCTTCCTCATGGGCATCTACAACCACCCGCCGCCACTGCCCTTTGCCGGAGACCCCTATAACTACCAGGAGGAGAACAAGCGCTTCATCTAGGAGAGCGGGGGTACCAAGTGCCAACCTCCCATCACCTGCCTTGGCTTAGGAAAATAAAGTTGGCATTTCTCACTGCCAGCACTGAGCTGGTGACTCCCCACGGGCACTGTGCCCAACCTGAGCACTGTGTGCGTGTCAGGGAGATGATGTCCAACCAGGGAATGGGTGCTTTTGGGTGTTCTGAGTACAGTGGTCCTCAGCTGTGGCTGGAAGGGGCATTTCCCAGAGGGATGGGGTGGTAGCAAGCCTTGCTACCCCCGTGGAGCTGGGCACTTGGGACAGGATGAGCTGGTAAAGGAGATGGACCCCCCCAGCACTGCACCATCCGCTGCAGTGGGCACAGATTCCAGCAATACCCACATTGCCCCCTGTCCCCATGATGCCCCAAAAGCGTTCCCCCCCCAGCACACCCCATCCTGCAGCACCCAGCTGGGGGCCAAGAGGGTGTCTCCTTCCCCAGCTCAGCAGCAGGATGCCAGAGCTCCAGTTTCAGGGGACTCAGCTGACATCCCCATACCGACAGTGGCTTGGGACAGCTGTCACATCCTCTCTGCTCAGCCAGGAATCTTTCACCACTCCCAATACCCCTACACAGGGTCTGGCAGGATTTGGACTTGGATCACTCCCCAGGCTGACATGGTGGGACTTGCCTGCTCCTTCTCCACCCCAGGAGCAGTCACCACCATGGGAGAGGACAGGGCACTTCCTGGGGTGCTTGCAGGGGGGCATCCCTTTTCCATAACCCATGGGCACTTGGGTTTCTGTGCAGGGAGATGCATCCCTCTGTGCAGGACATGGGGAAACTAAGGCACGGAGATAATTTTGTCCCCAGACCCAATTCCAATCCCTCTTGGATTCAGGCTTCCCGGCTAACTGTCATCAACCCTGCTGGGGGGGGGGCTGGGTGCTCCCTTGTTCCTCCCCACCCCGGTGGCTCTTGGGAACAGGTGACGGTGGCAGGGGACAGCTGTCCTGTCCACTGGGCGCCAGGCCCAGAGCACCGCTGTGCAGGCATCGAGCGCAGCCCCTGCACCCCACAGCACCACCATGCGCTGCCACAGCCTCCTCCTCACCCTCTGTGCCCTGGCAGGTAAGGGGTTCCCAACCATGGGGGGAATGCTGGGGGGTACCTGGTCACCCTCCACCTTTGTCCTTGGGGGGTTGTCACCCATGGGTGTACAGCACCGTGCACCATCCCACCAAGCTGCTCCCATGCTGGCAGCTCACTGTTCGCATGTCCTGCCCTGGAGGGGTCCCTGGGGTGAGCAGGGTGGGGGACGTAGGGGGGATGCACGCCCTGCGCTTTCACGCTGGACACTGACACATCATCAGGCATGCACAGCCACAGTAATGCACTCGTGGCCGTCCCCTCCCCACACACACCCTCCTGCCCGACCCCCCCCGCAGCACATCCCGGGGGGTGAGTGGCCCTGCCAGGGTGCCCCCATGGCACGTGCCCTCCCCAGGTGTGAGCTGCAGGAACCAGGAGGAGAAGCTGCTCCAGGACCTCATGACCAACTACAACCGGCACCTACGCCCGGCCCTGCACGGGGACCAGATCATTGATGTCACCCTAAAGCTCACCCTCACCAACCTCATCTCACTGGTGAGAAACTCCCCTCCCCAGTCCCAGGACAGGACGGGACAGGATTTGCCCCACAAAGCAACTGCAAACACGGGGCAGTGGGCAGAGCAGGGCACTAAAGTCATCTCCCCTCTTCCTTCCCTGCCAGAATGAGCGGGAGGAGACCCTCACCACTAACGTCTGGATCGAGATGGTGAGTCCCCTCGCCTCCAGGCGGGACACCCCGCGGCCACATTTGCTTCTGAGGGTGGTAACCCACAGAGGGCTGCCGCTGTAACCTGTACCCTCTTTTGTGGGTGGCCTCAACTGAGCCCATTTTGGGCAGCGTAAGACAGGCAGCTCACAAGCTCCGCCCCTTGGTGGATCACCATGACCCCTCCCTCTTTGCTCCCCTTTCCCCAGCAATGGTCCGATTATCGCCTGCGGTGGGACCCTGAGGAATATGACAACATCCAGCTGCTGCGAGTGCCCTCCACCATGGTCTGGCTGCCTGACATTGTCCTGGAGAACAAGTAGGTGGTGGGGCAATGGGGATATATCCCAGCACAGGCGGTGGCAGCTGCTCCCTGGGCACAGCGTGGGGCTGAGCCTACCGTTTTCCCACCAGCATCGACGGGACGTTTGAGATCACCCTCTACACCAACGTGCTGGTGTCCCCTGATGGCAGCATCTACTGGTTGCCCCCCGCCATATACCGCAGCTCCTGCTCCATCCACGTCACCTATTTCCCCTTCGATTGGCAGAACTGCACCATGGTCTTCCAGTGAGCACAGGCTGGGCATGTGGGGGCACCATGGCAGGTCCTCCTGGGATACAACGGATTAGCATGGCATATCCTTCTTTGCCCTGAGGCAACATACCCCTGAGCAGACAAGTGCCACCTACCCGTCCCCTGGCACCCCATTGGTGGCAGGAGGCACCTTGGCCAAGCCAAGCACAGCACCCCAAAGCAGAGCTGGAAGTGGCCAGCATGACCCAGTGCCACACTGGTGCTACTTGCACATCCAGCTCATTGCATGCCAGCCTGTGCCTGTCCCTTCCCAGGTCCCAGACGTACAGTGCCAACGAAATCAACCTCCTGCTGACAGTAGAGGAAGGCCAGACTGTGGAGTGGATCTCAATCGACCCCGAGGCTTTCACAGGTAACACCACAGCCACGCCTGTGGCACAAGAGGATCCTCCAATTGCGGGCACCAACAGGCTTGGTGCTGTGCCGGTGGCTGCCAAAAGCAGGGCTGTGGGGGCTATTAGCAGATCCTGCCATTACATGGGCACTTAAGTTATTAGTGGGAGCAGGAGTGTGGGAGAGATTTGTTTTTCTAACCCCCCCGCTCGGGGTTCTCATCGCCTGGCAGCCGCTCCTGGAGAGCACCGCTCCTGGGAGCTTGATTGATGCTGGGAACGTAGCTGTCACGGCCAAACGATGACGTTTTCCATCACATTCTAATTGCATATTGAAGGAACAAAATGCTTTTTGGGCAGCGAGATTTACTTTTTCATTACCGGCCCGAGCTGCGATCTTGACTGGGAAAAAATGCTATCGCTCCTGCAGACAGCAGGGGAAAACAGCACACCGTCATCCAGCATCACGCTCTGCTTCCCCCTGAGGCACCCTGGGGGCAGGGAGATGGGGGGACCACCACCCTACATGTAACATCCTGGGGTGTTCAAATGCCCCACATGTGCCTGGCTCCCCCCTCCAACAGCTTTTTGGGGTATTTTGCCCAGCTGCCCTGGCACACTCCATGGGTCTCATCTCCCTTCCCAGTGATTCTAGCACCTTTCCCTGCCTGTGCCCAGCCTGGGTGCCCTTTGGGGCCCATGTTAATCACCAGCCCTCCCCTTCCTCGCCTTCCCCACACTGGGGGCCTGGCAGACCCAGTGCCCCCAGTGGGGTGATGGCACTCATGTGGCACTGGCAGAGAATGGCGAATGGGCCATCAAGCACCGCCCGGCTCGGAAGATCATCAATTCAGAGCAATTCACCCCAGATGATACCCAGTACCAGCAGGTCATCTTCTACCTCATCATCCAGCGCAAGCCGCTCTTCTACATCATCAACATCATTGTACCCTGTGTCCTCATCTCCGCCATGGCTGTGCTGGTCTATTTCCTGCCAGCTAAAGGTATGCACTGATGCCATGCCACCACTAGGGGCACAGGGATGTGCAAGGGGAGCAGTGACAAGCAAGGAAGGGCTCACTGAGCTCTCTGTGGCAAGGGACCATCACTGCCATCTTCCCTCCACTCCTGTGATATTTGGGGTGGGGAGAGTGTATTTCCAGACACCACACAGTTAAAGCCTCATGGCAAGACTTGGCCAGTCCAACTTTGGGGTGAGGGCTTTTTGCCAAAGGGGGGCAATGCCCACAAAACTGCCTCATGCCAATCTCTGCCTTCCCTCCTCCTTGGCAGCGGGTGGGCAGAAATGCACTGTCTCCATCAACGTCCTCCTGGCCCAGACTGTCTTCCTCTTCCTCATTGCCCAGAAGGTGCCTGAGACCTCCCAGGCTGTGCCTCTCATTGGGAAGTAAGTGATGCACAGGGATGGGGGTGCCAGCTCTATTGTCACACTCTGACAGTGGATTCCCTGAGTGCTGTGCAGCAGCCAGTGCCCACAGACAGGACCCTGGCACAGAAATAACCTTAGCCCGGGTGAAGCTGGCACAGGGCTACCACATGCCCTTGTCCCACTGCTGGACCCCAGTTTCCAGCCCAGGAGAGCACTGAGAAGGACCATACATGCCCAAAGCTTGTGACCCAGCAGCACCACGTAAGGCCCGGTGCCTCCTCCCCAGGTATCTGACCTTCCTCATGGTGGTGACGGTGGTGATTGTGGTGAATGCTGTTATCGTCCTCAACATCTCACTGAGAACACCCAACACTCACTCCATGTCCCAGAGAGTGCGCCAGGTACCTGCCATCATTCCCCTACCCCTTACACATGGGGAACTGGGTGGGTATTTGGGCACGGAGGTCACGTCCCTCGCAGAACAGGGTGGCCGGCATGTCTTCATCTAAGTGCAAGTCCTAGCACAAAAAGGGACCCCCACAGATGTCCCCAAGGGATCACACTGTGCCACCAAACCCCTTCAAGCCACTCTGAACACTCGGAGCAGCAGGTGCCAAAGCACCCAGCATCCTATTGGCACAAGGGTACCGATGGGATGCTCCAGGTGATGCAAGGGGACCAGATTGCACCCATTGCATGCCCCAGGGTGGTGTGAGGGAGTCAGGTCCCCATGGGCGATGCTGTTTCCAGGTGTGCCTGCACCTCCTGCCCCGCTACCTGGGAATGCACATGCCAGAGGAGACACCTGGACCACCGCGAGCTGCCCGGAGGCGCAGTTCCCTGGGGCTCATTGTGAAAGCTGATGAGTACATGCTCTGGAAAGCCCGGACAGAGCTGCTTTTCGAGAAGCAGAAGGAGAGAGATGGGCTGATGAAAACTGTGC